GTATGTATGTATGTATACACACACAGACACGCCCAATCGATGCCAGGCGATAATACAGCTGGTCTCTAACAACATCCGTGGAGAGCTCAGCTGTGACATGAACTGTGGCAACCTTGCTTTTGGCAGCCTCCTCCTCCAGGTTCCGAACGAGCGGTGCTGTGCATCGGCATTTCAGGCTGGTGCGGACTTCCGGGTAATGCATGTACACCGCAGGTTCTTCAGGTCGAGTCATGTCCAGTGGTGGCTGTCAGCTGCACCTTAACCCAATCGCTCTCGAAGTTGGAAGACTGCGAGCCTCTGCCTGGACAGCATCTTCCATCTTGGAAGCAATCCCATTCCTGCGACTGAAGAACTCCTTGCTTACCGGCAGGCAAGATCATGTGGCTGGCCGTTTTCCTCCATTTCATTGCCTGCCTTTGGCTCAGCCTTGGGCGGCAGGCGCGATGACGAGCAGCAGTTGCGTGGCTACTGGTTGACGTACGCTTCTAGGTGTATGGATTGTCTGAACTCGTTCTGGCCGACTAATATATGGAGTTCCATTCAGAAGCGGCTGACTACCTTACCCTCAAGAGAGAACCCCATCATGCAGAGGCATCTTTGGCCCACTAAAAAAGTAAAAGGGGTCTGTCTGACGAAGAGCAGCAGCCGCAGCCTCGGCAGCCGCTGCAGTAAAAAGACTTCAATGTTCTCTTTGATGTTTCAGGAGGGCGGCTGGGTCTCGTACCACAAACCGGGCATCGCAGACATCCAGCAGCACCGTGTCGGCAGGGGATTTTCGGCTCGGGACTTCCTCGCCGAGTCCCAGAGTTTTGCGGTTTGCGCGGGGGCGAGGTACAGCATTGCCTTCCACTGGACCCTTGCGCAGTTCCATGGATCCATGGAGCTTTATCCTGTCACGGTGGAGGCGGGCAGCTTCGAGAGATCCTTTTCTCCCTGACGCGCGAATGCTGGCAGAAGTGTCTTTGCAGGAGCGCATTTTTGCATTCTGCTACTTGCTAATGGCCTACATTTTGGCCGTGGTGTTCATATCAAGCATGACGTCGGCCATGACCAGGCGAGTTGCGTTTTGCACCAGCTCCAGCTCGAAGCATCGCATGCACCAGCTGCTTGCAGAAAGATGTCGCAGGTTGTATCTCATCACCGGGATACAGGCAGGACACCAGCGCGTGCTGAGGTGGTTTCTCATTGATGCTTGGCCTTGAGGGGAAGGGCATCCTTCTTGCCATGGTCGCTGCACTCATGACTTCATGCGTCGCGAGTACCGTTTTCCCGCAGGCAACGTGGGGAGTCTGCCAAAGTTGGACCAAACGCCCTTCCGAGTTGCATGCAGAGACATAGCCGCGCCGTTCAAGGACAACGGAATCTCAAGGCAGCTGACGGCGCGGATCCACTCGAACTTGAAGCACAGCAGCAGGTCTGTCAGACCGGGACGGGTTGTAGGTGGGGTCAAGCACGGCACGTCCTGAAAAAGAGACTTCTCGCAGCATTGCCTTCAAAACTCGGATTTCCAGATCTTCCTAGCAGCCAACCAGCCCGAAACCTGGACCAACCTTCTTCATGTTGCCCGGAGTTTGCAAACACTGTCCCAAGAAGCTGACGGAAGAAGATGCTTAAGAGAAGCAGCCGCAGCCGATGTTCCGGCCGCACTGCACCAAGGAAAGCCTCCCTTACGGCCCAGTCCCATGCCGTCCCAGAGACTGAGGCAGGAAGACTGGCATGCTCGCTCTTTCAAGAGCTCTAAGGGCTTCTCTCGCTGTGTTTAGATTTGGGGATGGAGAGGTATGCTATAAATATGCTTCTAGGGTATCAAAAGGGGTCCGCTACTTGTCCCAGCCGGTCAGCGCACAGGTGGAGTTCCTGCAGCTGGTGTCGGAGAACCTTCGGATGCTGGGTTGCGGCAGAGGTTTCGCGTTCAGGGCCGGTGGGTGTGGGATTTGGGGTTGAGGGGGGCTTGGGGTTTGCGAGGTTGTTTCGACTTTCGACAAGGACTTCACAGCATGCTTCGCCCACGGTGGCTGCACACCGAATGTTTGCAATTTCCTTGCGTCTCTGAAGTCTGTAACAGCACAGTGTTTGTGTTCACAAGCTCCCCGCTGGGCGCAGCTTGGTGAGGCCCGAACTCGATCACGCCGCTCTCATTGGCTATTGTTTTCAGGGATCCGCTCCCACAGATCCTGAACTCCCTAAACCCTAAACCCTAAACCTCGAAAACTTCTCCGAGTGTCAGCAAGGATGGAGCTCCACTGCGAGATGTATGGGCCTGCGCTGCGGCACCATCCGTCGCTTAGGGGATTTGGGGACCTAAACAACCTGACCATGACTCCTATACTGCTGGTGATACAAATCCTGCATTACCTTTAAACAACCCGAAACGATGGGAATAAGGGTATATTCCTTATGATGGGCAATGCAGGATTTATATAATAAACCCTAGGAGGGTCGTTTGCAGGAGTTCGGGACCCACTGCCCCCGGGGAAGCGGCCCCTGGCTTACAGAGAGATCCAAGGTTGCTGGCGCCCATGACAGCGCAGATGGTGAAGCAGAGCCTCGTCCAGACACCCCATAGGGTTTAGGGTTTAGGGTTTAGGGTTTCAGATGGTGAAGCAGAGCCTCGTCCGGAATTTCGCGTAGGCAAAAGCTTTCCAGAGCGGCTTCCCCTCTCCGGACAAGAAGAATAAGAATAATAACAGTCAACAATCCTCAGAGTGATAGTCATGGTACGATAATTCATCATAGCAGGAACCAAAGTAATCAGAATGACAGTGGTACTAATAGGGTGCTGCGACGCCAGGGCCGAAAGGAGTCTTCAGATGGGAAGCCGTCTAGCATTGCATCTAGGGTATAGGGGGTATAGGGGGTTCAGGGTTCAGGGTTTTAGGTTTTAGGGTTGAGGCTTTAAGAAGGAAAGGTCGGTTGAAGGTTTAGTAATGTAGGGCTTCTGTTTTGTTTTCTTTCTGGCCAGTTGCCTCCGTGACCGGCAACAAACAGAAGAGAAGTTTCTGATACCAAAGTGGTGATGAGCTTCTGACGTTTTGGGACTACAGACATCAACTGTCGACGACGAATGAAAGACACGATTCGAAGAGGCATGTCGTCGTGGGATGATGACATTAACCACTCATTCAGGATGCGGGCCCCTAAAATGTACCGGCTATCGTTATCTTTCAGCTTACATCCTTTCCAGCCACGTGTCAAGGACTGTGCAGGGATGCGTGCCGGCTTGAGCACCCGAGGCTGTGCCACACAGCGATTTCCCTGGCTCTTATCTCGCATGGCGACCTAGTTTTCATTCAAGGCGCGTGCATGCTGCTCATTGCTTCATGGGTCAAGCTTCCGCGAAAGGTGCCTGGAAGCCCCAGGCGTTACGCAGCCAGAGTGAGCAGTCGCTAGACCGCTCAATGCTTGTCTGGGTTCCTGTGTTTTTTTCCCCAGCTTCCCGGATGCAGGCGAGGTGCCGGTGGAACCGCGGATGGTGTTCATCACGGATGGAGACCTGGTTTATTTCCGCAGCGGGAAGTTCGAGTCGATGTCTGTCCATCCGGGCGACCACGCTGCAGAACCGGAGCCTTGCCCAGCATTCTCTGCTACTCTTGTTACAGAATGCAGTGGAATTTGTCTTTTTGTCATCACTGTAGTCCGCTCTAGTCCTGGTAACCTTCTTTGTATAGCTCCAGCCGAGGTCCTGTGGACAGATTGGCTCCATCACGGCACTCTACGGGTAGCATCTATGCGTGTGAGGTGCTCCAGGGTTTGCTGACCGGTTCTTGCTTCTGCGTTTTGACTCTGCGGACCTGGCACTGATACTGGTAGTCGGAAGTTGAGATGTGAGGGATGCTCGTCTGCATAGAAGAGGCTTTCAGACTAAGCACCTCATGTGCCGGTGAGCGCAGGCTCCTCCTCCTGAGCGCGAAAACGTTCCAAGAGCTTCTCGGCATAACGAAGGCAGAAATCCAACCTGCGCGACCTCATCCCCTAAAACACCCGGAACTCGAACTATGGCAGCGCCGTGTTGCACCTGAGGCTGGCCCAGAAGAACACCTGCCCGGAGATTGAATCTTGTTCGCAAGGTTTGAGTGCTCTGCCTCGGGGCCTATCTTTGAGCCGTCCTCTTCGGAGTGTGCTGAGTGGGCAGCTTTTTCGGTCGTCTCCGCCTTGCAAAGGACCTGTTCGCCTACGCGGCTGAATTCGTGCGGCAGTTCAACGAGTTGGAGCCCGTGGACCGCCATGACTTGTGGAGCAACATCGATTTGACTGGCTTTGGGCTGTGAGGGCAGGTGCCGGGCAGTACCGTCGAGCCGGCCTTTTTCAGACCTGCGTGCACGTTGCAAGCTTTGCTGCAGATGGACGGGTGGAGCTAGCGGCTTTTGCTCCGGCAAGGCTTACGCGCATGTACACGTACGTAGGGACTCCAAAGTGTCAAGAGAATCAAGAGATATGCCGAGCAAAAGCGTGCATCTGCAGCCCATTGCAAACGACTTCCCTGACAATCAGAGCAGTCGGAATTCGAAGGGTCGTATGCACGAGTCCAGCTGAGGGTGTGTTTGACCGGGGAGGTTCGGGATAGCTCCCTTTGCGAGCAGACCTCAGATCCACATCGCGGTGAAGATGCGTTAGCACACCTGCTGACTGAACTGTGGTCTGGTTCTTGTGGCTCTCGTGACCAGGGGACCTGGGTTCACAAATGGTGGTGTTGAGTTGGGTTAGTCGAGCTGCGTGACTTTGACTCTAGCATCTATACTGTGATACCACGCCAGAATTTACTCCTGTTGGCATGAGGCCACCGTCGGACCGCAGCCACACGCGAGGGTTCTCTGAGGTGTCCTGCACTTCTCGTCGCGTTCGAAGATGTGTGCAAAGCATCGGGTCATCGGGATAGCAATGCAGATATAGCCTTTGCCTGGCACCTCGGGGCCAGGCGATTCTTTTCCTGCCAAGCCCTGAAGCCCTGGCATGATGCTGCAACCGCTGCGGCAGCATGAGCTTTGGCACCAAAATTCGGTTCTAGCGCATGACGTCTCGGTCATAGAGCATGACGGCTCCAGGGGAAGTGCTCTCGGAAATCTCTCGGTTGGATGGTTGGGAAACGGACGGGTTGGTTTGTTTGGAACACCTGCCACACCGGCCTACACAGAGCACACCCGCCGGTGCCACAAGAGCTGTGCAGCTACATTTTTGTCCACCGTACTGCGGAGATGCTGCAGATTGCTGCAGTATCTGCGCAAGCTAGAGCTAACGTCCTCGATGAAGACGTCTCTCGCGCTTTTCAAGCATTTCCGATGCACCCCGTCATCTCATCTCAGAAAAGGCACCGCTTGACTACTGTTCACCTTCGGAGCAGCGCCCACAACACGGTCCCCTGATGCTAGCACCTGGGTGTGTCTGAAAGCGATAGCTTTTGCTTGGCATCCAGGTTCCATCATGCGGCTAGGCCCAGTACCAGTGGCCTACCACCTGGTGCCGGCACAAGCTTTGGAGGCAGTGTCTGACGATCGATGTGAGCTTCCGAACACGAAGCATGGCACCTGCGAGGTGGCAGGATGGCAGTCCTTGGCCACACATCCCGGAGCAGAGGCCATGAGCTGGTAGAGTTGTGGAAGTAGGAGCGAAGAGACCGGATTCGGACTTTCGGCTTTGTGGATGCACGCACGACGACGCAAAGCCAAGTTAACACCCCTGGATGCAAACAGGATCTTCAATTCGGCTCGTTGGAATTGGCTTTATTGCTCCTGTTTCAGTTCGAGGGCCCGGCATTCCGCAGGCGGCGCTATGCTGCCGCTTCATCGCCTCCTTCTGCGTGGCTGCCATAGCTTGTCATAGGCGCGTGCACCGTTTCGGGGCCCGAAAGTCTTGCCGAGGCCCAAACCCCTTACTCGTAGCTCCGAAGCTGAAATGCCCGAAGTTTCTCGCAGGGATGCGGCGAAAGCTTCTGATGCGGAGTTGCCTGGACTTGCAGATAGAGGTCCTGAAATCGGGCTCGTTTCATCTTTCTTTCACGTACATCCTCAGAGGTTGCGGTGTAGGGATTTCTGGTAGTCAACTTCTTGGATCTTCGGCTTTGCGATGGGATCGCAAGACTTGCCTGCCCGGTGGTTCACCGGCTGCTTGCTACAAGCAGGAAGGTTTTAGGGTTTGCTGAAGCAGAAGAGTCGACATAATGAGTTGTGCAGTTTCAAAGCTGGCTGCGAGAGCCTGGTTCCAAAAGGGCTTAGTGTATTGCAGTCCTGCTCGGAAAAGGGTTTAGGGTGTTGGTTCAATGAACAGCCCGGAAAGAAGCCCGTGTCTCTTCAGGCTAACTGTGCTGGATCCCATTGGTGACACTCGAGCATTCCTGGATGCCGGTCTGCAACTATGGAGGGTGACGTGACATATCGGAGGGGGAGATTGCTGGAGCTGTGTGGGAACGCCTGGTGCGCAGCTTGAAGAGCCTCAGGAGAACCACATCAACGCCTTTCTGCAACAAAGCCCCGGCCCAAGCCGGGTTCTCCAGGAGTCCCGAAGCCCATTCAGAGCGATTTTCGTGTCGAGTGCGTGCATGCCGAGGCGACGCCATGGCTTTGCCGAAGAAACTAGACCAGGACGGCTTGGGCGACTGGTGTCTTGAGTCTCTATCATCTGCCACAGCAGTGTACGGCAGAAACGGCCGTGGCTCGATGCACCCACGAGGGAACAACCTCGTGGTCTGACGGAGAGGAAACGTTCGACAAACAGCACTAAATCCCAAAGCCAAACCCCCGAACAAGCCCCAATCTTGAACTCTGTTTTTTTTTCGTACTCCCTCTTCGTTGGTTGTAGCAAAAATTCGTGGATAAAGCCAAGGGGTCATTCGATTCACCATTTCAGTATAATATGCCTGAGGGGGTTGTGCAAATCATCATGTTTTATTAGCTATCCACGGTCCTCAACCCTAAGCCCGAAGCGCCACACAGAAATTTCGGCCCTACGGGGCTTGGTACAACTCGAGGACGGCTCCTGCGCCCGGCGGCTGCAGCAGCTGCTCATGAGCCAGGCGCCTTCCAGGACTGAAGCAGCAGCTGCTGGGGTGATGTCTGTAGTGTTTTAAAGGGGTATAGGGGGACCGGTAGCTACTGTGTAAGGGTTTTCGAGTTAGATTCTGGGTTTGGGTTTGAGGGTTTGGGGTTTTGTGGGGTTGGGGTTCAGTGGTGTGAACGTTACGGCAAGGGCTATTTTCAGGGTGACTGGGGTTGGGCTTCTTGGGGTGTCTCGGGTCATGGGTTTGGGGTGTGAGTGGGATTTGGACTATCGGCTGATGCGAGTTTAGGGTTGGGAGGGTCGAAATTTGTGGGTGGGGGTTTTGATGCACGGGGCTGTGACTTGCGCCAGCGCATTATCGGGGCGACGGGTGGCACAGAGTAGCATTGCACGGCTTCTGTTTCAGAGGCTAGCTTTTTTTGGGGCACCCCACGGCAAGAATCGACAGATCCGGCTGTGTGCAGGAAAGAGGCGCACTGGAATTGGAAAGTGGCCAAGCTGCCGATCGCCGACTCGATCGCTGCCAGACAAGGCATTGCCGGAGTGGACCTGCGGCTTGGACGAGAGTCCGGTTTTGGAGTCTGGAAAAGGTTCTCCTCGGACAGCCTTTCGCAGTATTGACCTATACTCGTGCACGAGTTGCTTGCAGCCCTGCGTGCATGCTCTGTGTATGCCCAGGTACAATGGACATCCGACCATAGCTACGTATTTCGGAGCATATTGCTCCTCGGCATGCAGCCGCTACGTTGCTGCACATGTTGGGGCAACTTGCGTAGTTATGTTTGCCAATGTTTGCCACCAGTGCAGTGGCTTCAGATCCGGTCTAAACAAACGTTCTGCAACAGCAGCGGGGTACCGGTAGCTTTGCACCAAGACGCAGCCCGGAAGGTCCAGAGTGAGTTTGCGATGTTTGCATTGGTCCCGGACATATGAAAGTTATCATCCTTGACGTGGCGCAAGGGTGCCGGCGGGATTGTCAAGTACGTGCAAACGCGTGCAAAGCTAGCGGCTTTTCTTCCTGAGATGAGGCATGGATGGGCTGGCGATGGCTCTCTGGGCACTCTGGAGCTCCAACAGCTACTCCAGCGCAGTGCGGGCCGGTGTCAACTTGCTCGGCGACGCCGACACCGCCTCCTGGCAACCAAGTCTGGAACCGTGCGAGGTAAATCCCTAACCCTAAACCCTAAGGGCAAAAACCCTAAACCCTAATAGCCAGCTGCAGCATCTGCCAGCCTCCGGCAGAAGTGTTCGACAAGCCTCAGTTGCAGAAACAGGTCGGGGCCATCGTCGGCCAGATGGCCGGGGCCCTCTATGGCTGGAAGCAGATCAAGTCAGAGGCCTTCTCCGAGCGCTGTGCAGCCCGGCTCGAAGCCCTGAACTCCGCCTCATTTCGGATCTAAACTTGACCTCCTCAAGTCGAGAAGTGTAGCAAAAAAGGGTGAAACTTGTTTTTTGTACCGTCAGCTCCCTGAACCCTAAATGTTTGGAGCGGGTGGAAACTCCCTGAGCCACAAGCGTCTGCAAACTTTCGAGCTCGCGGAACGATGCAACCCACATGTCTGTGCTCTATCAGACTCTGTCTTCTGGATAACAAAATGTTGTTTTGTCAGAAGAGGGAGCTAGGTAACTTTTGTGCTTATGAGGCCACCTCAACAGGGCCCGATGTTCGCCGCGAGACTGGGCTCCCCTTTGGGCCGTAAAGCTGTGAGGCCACAAGCACTCTCCACCACTTAGGCCTGCCTGCTGCTTATATCCTTTAATTTATCTTCTTATCGACCAAAAAGTCTTCCAATCCCCTAAACCCTAAACCCTAAACCCCCATTCAGAGGTCAGAAACCTGAAGTACTGGGACAAGTGCGCCGAGATCGGACTGCGAGCAGCCTCCTGCCTGGACTGGCGCTGGGTTCGGTCGACTCCAAAGCTTGACTGTGGGATGCTTGTGCTGGTAAGCGTTCGCAGCGAGATTCCAGTTTGCTTTTGGGAAGGATGGGGGAGGGCGAAGGAGGGAGTGCGGGAGAGTAGGTGATTGGGCAGATCTGATGAAACAGCCTCGTCAAGCAAGCAGCCACGGCTTGCTTGCTTTTTTTGGAGCAGGTTGTGCTGCCTGGCAGGGAGACACTGCCGCCTGGCAATGCCATGCCTTTGCCTGATGCTTCCGAGGCTTTGCTCTACCATCTTGGACCTCGTCCTCGCGGATCATTGAAGCCCGCAGACGGCGAGTCGAAGGACGGGGAACCGGGCAGGGTCGTAGCCGTGGCTAAGCCTCGTAACCTTGAAACCACGAGAGTGGCTCTTTCTGTCATTGAGCTGCTCTTGTGACGAGGCAGCGGAAATTCGATGTCTTGTGGCGATTGATTGCTCGAAAGTGGATCCAGGCGAAACTCTACCAGCGACCGAGTGGAGACGTCCCGCTTGCCGGCGAACTTCCGGCTGGTGAGTGGGTGACCTGTTCCTTGGACCACTTAGCTGCCTCGTTGAGCTAGCTTCACTTAGCGGTGCGCAACGCTCAGCCTTCCATGATTGCTGCTGACACCACCGCATTGCTCCTTGAAACGCCTCATCTTTGAAGCCGATTGGTTCGGGTTGCTGAATGCATGAACATGTGCACGCCCAAAGATCTGTTATCCGTGGAACCCAGGCAATGAGCCCCACAAGCCTGTATGTGGTTGCTGACAGACTGCTTTTGTCAAGTTGGATCCACGGAAGAGCCCTGAACGGGTGCTGACAGGAAGAGAAGGAGTCGGTAGCAGTTTTTCAGAGGGCGCTTCGTCCAAATTGCCTAGCTGCTTCATCGCATGAAGCCCTTAACCCGAAACTGCAAGCCTCCATGAGTGCCGAAACCCGAGCAAGCCCTCGAAAAACCACAATCCCAGACCCCCAAATTTCAAAACCCCAAAATCGTTGTGCACAGTCGCTCACGCGTTGCCTGGCACTGCTAGACCTTCTGAAGAGAGATGGAGACAGGGAGAGAGTCGGGCTTGACCCGCCAGGCGTGGACGCGGCCAAGGACTTCGTCTGCGTCTCGCACGAGGGCAGTGGCCTACAGGGCTGGGTGCCGAAGAAGAGCATTGCTGCGCCTCGGCACGAGGAGCATGAGGCTTTCCCATGAGGATTGTCATGATATTTTGGAGCTTTCAGAGACTGCGTCTTCAGATTGTCCGGAAACTCCAATAAGCTTGGAGCACGGACATCTATCCCTGAGCACAGTGGGACCCCCTAAGACAGAAACCCCTTCAGAAGGGTAAAGAGGAGCTTCGGTTCGGCTCAGAAATGTATACGTCTGAAGTAGTGAGGGTTCAATATGTAGCATATCTAGTATAAATCCCATGCATAGTAGATATGATAGATGTAGCAGACTGTAGTAGATGTAGAAGATCTAGAAGATAGAGTATGTATCTGCGTATATACATAATATACATGTGCATAATACAGTATAGTAGATACATATATTTAAAGTATACAGTATGTGTGTATATATATACATACATACATACATACATACATATATATATATACAGTTATACATACATATACATAATATAGAATAAAAGCATAAAGTACAAAGAATCATGTATGTGCGTATATGTATATATAGATGGTATATTCAGTATGCATCCGGTTGGAGCGACATCATCCGGTTGTGAGGTTCCAGGGTCTACACTGACAGACCCTTTATCTCAGCTCGTGCCCTAGTTGGCAAAACAAGTTCGCTCTTTGTGGTCCCATTGCAATCACTGTCGCACGGTTTAGGGTTTAGGGT